TAAGCGGTACAGGAAGCTTGAACTAACTATTCTTACTGCGAATCCTGAGTTAAGATATCTGTGCAGTACACTGGCAATAATCGTTTAGAGACAACAAAGGGGGTACGAAAAAAAAACATACTAGAACTGCACTGTTTCAGGAAAAGGCAATTATTTAGGTTGCAAATTTTCCAAACATGAAGACAATCGAACACACCACCGTTTTGTTGCTTCACAAAGAATAAGACTACTTTTGAAGTATAGATCTTGTGATTCTCATAAGTAAGAGAAGGACAGCGTGCACATCCCACTCAATCTGGTTTTTTAATAGACAATGCAAAATTTAAGGCGCGGAGGTGCGTCTGCAATTAGTTGCCAGTTGATTATATAATACATGTACATACCCGGTGTTCCCAATCACCAGTGTTTACCTGTTTGTTTTTTGGTTTTTTCCGAGAGAGGCACATTCATGTGCATGATAATCTGGGGATCGTATGAATAATTTCTAAAATAGTATTTCCAGTAACCTCATTAATTCAATGTTTAATGAAAATAAGCTGCAACTTAGAGCCTGAAAAATGAAACGCCTGAACGATTTTATGCATTGTTCATTTAAAAAACCCGGTACCGTAGCTACCGGATTTATCCTTTTCGCATTTTGCGAATGGGTCAGATGCTAATTAAGTTTCTAAAAAAGAATTCAATGTTTGTCTCTTAGAATGATCTACATCAACATCATGAAATATATTAATCCAATCATCACAATAGGATATACAATTTACGAACCATGACCAGTAAATCCACGCGCGATTGGCTACAAACACGTAGGGTCAAGAAACCAAGCAAGCAATATCGGTGTGCGCACGCGTCAGTAGAAAATTTAACCAGCCTATCGAAGCTGAAGACTGATAAGGGAGTAGAGATGCAATAGCCGAAGAAATAGGAATAGTTTAGGGGTCCTGGTAAAAGAGAATATACCTGTTCATATATCATAATAGTATTTCAAGCATTCTTTAAAGATACCCCGGCAAGCTACAAAAGAAACATGTTTCATTATGACCTTGATGTTTTGACAACTGCAATTTGACAATATTTGTTGCTTACCCAGATGAAACGAACCAACAGACGATATTGACTAGTATAGCTCAACCGCTGATGGCATATTATGTCCTTTTTTAACTACCACCATCATTATATGGACCGGAATAGTTGCTGAATATTTTACGGTAACAGGTTCAGAGGGATGCAACTATCACTAAGGATATACTAAGAACTACGACCACCATTATTTCATCCACTACACCACCTGGTAGCACTACCTCGTCAAGCCTGTCTTTCTGGTTGAATTCAAATACTTCAATTTCATCTTCCAACACTCCGTCTTCAACAGGGGCACCTTCCAGTGTTGCTTCTCCTTTAAGTCTAGCACCCTCTATCCCAGCACCTTCTACAAGTGTCCTCACCATCACCACTTATTGGACTGGTTCTATAACGCCTACCACAGGACCTGTTGTCACGGAAATATATGTCACCACCATCACCTTGCCATGTACCTGCAAGGTGCCTTCCACTACCACAACAACTAGTGATGATGGTAAAACGACCGTTGTCTGTCACATACCACATTGAAGAGTTTCGATTGTGGGCCACCGAACCATGTACAAATTCTACTGGGGATGCTACTGTCACAACATATACCACATTCACTAATCCCAACTGGTGCTAAAAGTAATGGCTCGGATAGGTTTCGGTACATAGTGACTCTGACACTGATGTAAAAGATGACTCCTCTTACTGTTATCGTTTTATGAAGAGTCGATAACTTAACGCCAGCATAAACAACATATTCAAAATGACTTTGGGAAGGAAAGTCTGAGCTATCGAAACAGTACTCGGCCCAGTACTGGGCACAATTCGAGTACTGGACACATTTGTCACCAACCTTCCCTGGGTGTAGGCAGGAATATATTTCGGACACGCACGTTTCCCGTCAGATTCGACTCTCAGTTTGTTACATGCTTAGATTTGTTACAATGCCAGAGATTTCAAGCATTGTTCTTAGGCATATACAGGATGCAATTATGTGTGTCCTATGCTTTCTCGGTTTACTGAATATGGAGGTGGAGATGCCTTATCCAAAAGAAAGTAATTTTTAGCCGTTCCCTCTTTCCTATGGATGGTACCTCTTGTTCGGCTTTGACTACATATCTCAACAATGCCAGCAACTCAACTGGAACACATTAGATAGTGAGTACACCAAAAAAGCAGTGTTAGATAGGAGCGAAACAACTTGAAGGGGTTCGAACTAGAACACAAAAAGATGAAATCCATCTCTCCTTACACGACTACCTCTAGATGCGGTAAACTAGGAAATCATAAGACATATACATATTTATCTTGCGTATGCCTAGAATTTTTTAATTGGAAAACCTCTTTAGATATGACAAATATGTGCGATTAGTAAAAATCCATGCGGAAGCCAGAGATAGTTCTTGTCCGAAGATAGGTCTGACTGCACACAAGTAAGGCAGGGGGGGACGAACCTGTTTCGGAATCATACGCCTTGGAAATTGCTCTATAAAAATCACATATGCGCAGAATACCGAATATGTGCATGTGTAACCCGTTTCTGGTTGTGAGAGTTTACGAACATTAAAAGCAATTTGTAACCCTCTAAGAACTTTCTCTTCAATTAGCAGAATCTGAGAATTATACTCTATTTGACTCGGGTGGAAGGACAGGCTTAGTTCAATATCAGTAACTTTGACTGGACCACCTGGGGGGCTTCTAGTTTCACTTTCACCAGACACGAAAGTAACGTGATCATATATGTCATCTCACTTGAGTTACGAAACTGATATAAATAGATACGTAGATACAACGAATGATGTCACTTGAACAACATAATATTACCCATTTAAGCGCTCGAGCAGTTCTTGGTACATGCATGTAGGCAGATTAGAATTCAAAACCAGCTCAACCAATTCCCCAAAAAAATTGATCTTTATATGCAGGAAGTTTTCTTGGCCAGCAGAAGGCTGCAAGTCATCTTAGTTCCGCTTGCAATTATC